GCCGGCGCTCGGCGGTTTCCGTCGCAGCTCGGCCCCTCCTCCGAGGGCGGGAGCTGAGGCGGGCTTAACTCTCTCCTCGCCGGAGCCCGGCAGCTCCGCCTGCCGCCTCGAGGCTCGCGCGCCTTCGGGCTTCGCGGGGTTACTCGCCCGCGCTTCTGCCTGGCATCTGCTCGAGCGGTCTACGCTCCCTTCCCCTGCCCGCACTCCTGTCTTCCTCCATCCCCACCCCAGGGCCCCGGAGGCGCCCAGCGCGCCCCACAAAAGCTCCGGGAGGCGACTTTGTTTTCGGTTTATTGCCCCTCAGCAGGCAGCAGGAGTCGGGGCCTGGGCTGGGGCTGCCCGGCTCAGCCAGAGGATCTACACAGTGTGTGAGGGGAGCCGTCCGCCCCTCCAGGGAAATGCGCCATCGGGAATGTCTCGAAGTCGAGGAAAAGGTCGGGCCCGGGTCCTGGGGCCTTCTGGGGGTCGGGGCCACGCCGCCGGGCCAGCCGGTCCCGTCCGGCAGCGATCAGACGTCGAGGGAAGAGGCGGGGGACAGAGAAGGGGTTCGAGAGGGTGTGGCCGGCGCCGGCCCGGCGGCCCCGGCGCCCAGCACGCGCCACTGGAAGATGCTGGCGTCCTTGCCGCCCAGCGAGACGAGGTGCGAGTCGTCGTGCGTGAAGCGGACGTTGGTCACGTGGCTGCCGTGGCCCCCGTACATGCGGCTCGGCGCCTGGGCCGGAGGGAAGGTCGAGTTGCTGCGGCGGCGGCGGCGGTGACCCCGGGCCCTCCCGCCCGGCCCCGGCGGCCCCCAGCGGCCTCACCTTGGCACGCGCACAGGGGTACTGGAAGAGGTGCACTTTGCAGAAGTCGTCGGCCACGGCCACCACGCGCTCGTTGTGGGAGCGGCACAGGGAGTTGATGTCGGTCCCATCCGAGCCGTCCGGCCACACGCCTAGCACAGCGGCCGGCCTCAGCCCGGCCTCCTCCCCACCGCCACCCACGGCCCAGAAGCAGCCATGGTCACTGGTCGCGTTCCAGGCAATTCTTCCCGGTCTCCTGGGCTGGATCTGCCGGTTTCTTGACGCCCACCCCACGACACACGCCCAGTATTCCGAGCCCAGAGCGGGCTCCACCTTGTCCCCCGACCCCTCCCGCAGGGTTCCGCGCCCCTGCGCCCCTGCTCACCATAGACGTGAAAGCCCAGCACGCAGGTGTAGGTAGACCATTCCCGGTCTCGGCTCTCATAGCGATTCCTCAGCAGCTTGCAGCCTCCAGCCACGTCCCCTGGGGAGAAGGAGTCCGCTCAAGGTCAACTCAGCTCTCGCCCTGCCCTCAGTCAGGAAGATGCCCGGGAAGACCAGGTTGGAAAGACTGGCTTGAGGAGGTGGCATGTGATCTGGTGGTCACTGTGGTAGCACCCCCTCCCACCCGTGAAACCCACCCCCTGTGCTCCCTGAGTTCTCACTGAAGTTCTAACAGCTTCTCATCAGTTCCTCCTCCCTAGATAAGTCAACCCCTGCTCTGAGAAACTTTTCCAGAGCGATCTCTTCTTGGTGCATTTTTCAGTTCCCTCAAGTCCTTGTGGGAACAAGATATGGTATGAAAACGTGCGTGGCTTTTTCCAAATCAAAATTTCTCCTATGTGTATGACTCTGACTTCACTTTAACCCCATCTCCACCTCCATATCTGACAGCCCCTCTGCCTGGAGCTCCCCAAGCATTCTTCCATTCCCACCCAGGAACACCCCCACCCCAACCCAAATAAAATACACTCCAATTACCCTCTTCCCATGTCCTCCCCCATTTCCACTCACAGTAAAGAATCTCATAGTCCCCAGAATTGGACATGATGAAGTTCCCATCCTTGGACCAGTCAAGGTGAGTGATGAAGCTGGAGTGACCCTGGAAGCAAGGGTCAAGGGTCAAAATGTAGCCACCCACCATCTCCGATGCTCAGACACTCCCCCATCCCCATGCATCAGACCTCTGTGAGTCTACCTGCTGTTACCATGCCCCACCCTCCACCCCAGCTTCCTCACCATGCAGCGGCCAAAGCGGCTGGACTTGGCACCATCACTGGAAACGCTATAGATGTAGATCATGTTGTCATGGGAACCAATGGCCAGGTACAACCCATCTGCAAAGACAGTCACTCAGAGAGGGAAGGGTTAGGGACAGAGTTGAGTCCAGGGTGGGGGCAGCTCCCACCTGGGCTGTACCGGACCACTGAGAGCTGCTCATTGCCATCGGTGACATCAGACACAATCTCTCTGGTCTCTGTGTCCAAAACCAACCACCTGGAAGGGAGGGTAGGGAAAGCAAATGGGGAGTCAAAAAGGCAGGATGCGAGGAGACCCCCCAGGGAGGCCGCCCTGGGCAAGGTAGGGGGTGGCAAATCGGAGAACCTCAGTTAAGCCCAGGAAAGACTATGATGTAGAAAAGAGGTCACCACTGCATTCTTATGCTGGAATATGGGAAGGGGCTAAGGACAGAGAAAAGCTGAGGGGCTTCTGATGCCGTCTGAAGAAGTTGTCAGAAACTAGACCTGACTACAAGGGCCTTGTGCAGTCCGTAAGCCTGTCACTTCCCCGTGTTTGTCTCCCCTATGCCCCTCCCTTTCCCGCTGCTTCTCTAACCTGGCCTGCCACCTCCTCCACTCCCAGGCTTGGAGGAGAGAGTGGTTGGGGGAGGGGTGAAGACAGTTGCCACAGGAAAGCAGGGGAGGCCGCGGCTGGGCTGCTGGGAGAAGCACCGAGCAGTGAAAAGGCGGGGTTGGGCCCCTGAGTAGTGTCACTCCTGTCCACTCCGCACTACCAGGAAGCCTTCCCATACCTCCCTGCTTTCCCTCCCAGGAGTCCTGGCTCCCTCTCACCTCCCCGTGTTCAGTCCCACGGCCACAACTGCCCCACTCGGGTGGAAGTCAGCACAGAGACCAATCTCCTGAGAGGGGGGAGAAGGTGAATTCAAGAAGAGGCCTTTCTAGTGAGGGAACCAGGACAGGGACACCTTGTCATCTCGATAAACTCAAAGCCTCCTCCTCCCAACAAGGAGACAGGGAAAGAGAGGGCCAGGAGACCTGGGATGGAGGCTGGGTGCCACTGGAGCCTAAACAGGGATAATACTCAAAATATTTAACTACCAGAACTGAGCCCCCAGCTGGGCCGGAGATTAACCATGTATTTGCTGGACCAAGAGGAGGTCAAGGGGTCCTGGAGAAGGGGAGTATTGCCCAGGCAGCACTAGAGGCATCAGCTCTTACCAATCAGTACAGAAGAATTAGTATTTGAGTAGCCACACAACGGCTGTCTCTGGGGGGCTGAAGGAAAGGGGATGTTGGGGAAGGAGTGGTGGCCACAGGAGTTGAGGTAGGTGTGGCATGGGGGATCCAGGGACACAGGGCTCTACCTTGAGGTCAATGCTCCAGGCCAGCGCATGGCCCTCCCCATCCCACAGGCACAGCTGCCGGTCATGGCCGCAGGTGAGGAAGCGGTTCTGGAAGGGATGTGTGCAGAGCCCCCAGAGCTCATCGGTGTGGCCCTGCAGCAGAAGGTGGGCTGTCACCCCTGCTCTCCCCAACACCTCTTCCCTCCCTCCTCCCCCAAGCCCTTAGCCCCCCAACCTGGATTACAGGGGAGAAGCCCTGGGCCAGATCTCCCCTCAGCAATGCATTCTTCGTTGTTCCCACCAGCAGCTCAGAGCCAAGCCCTTCAGCAATGGCCCGCACGGCCCCAAAGTGTTCTGGGATCTGCAGAGTGGTGGCAGAATGTCAGGAGCCCACTGACCATTCTTCTTCCCCTTTCTTGACCCCAACACAGTCCTCACCTCAGCCTCCTGGAGGGCCACCAACCCAGGCCCCCACTGTACCAGCCGGCGGTCCCGCCCACCACCACTCAGCACTGTCCCGTCCCGCCGGAGACACAGGGCGAAGATGGAACCTTCATGAGCGTGGGCCTGGGCCACAATCCCGTAGGTCTCTGTTGGCAAAGTCCCAGGTGGGTCATGCTCTTGGGGCTCAGGGGAGTGGGGAGCAGGGGGCAGCCTAGGCCATCACAATAGAGTAATAACTTCCAACTACTGAGTGCCTACTGAATACTGTTTCTGATCCTCACGAATGCGAACACTGCTATTATTCTCCCTATTTTACATACAGGACAATCGAGGCTCAGAGAACTGAGGTAACTTCCTAAAGCCCAGACCACTAGTGGCAAAACTAGAATTTGAACCCAAGATCTGGCAGACCCAAAGCCCCAGACTTTCTCCTCTGCCATGCTGTCCCCCACCCCACCCCCAAGAACTATCACCTCTCAAGGTAAAAAGATGGGAGACCCTCTCCTGTGCATGAGTCAGCGTACTAGGACTGGAAGTACTAGACTTCCCAGATGGCACCCTCAACCACATACCTTTGGCTCCACCCCTGCCTGGGGTCTTGGAATCGGAGGGGCCCCGCCCCCAAGTGAGAATGTTCCCCTCTGAGTCCCCAGTGAGAATGTCTCCATCCGGGAGGAACACAAAGCAAGGGATAAACTTGGGTTTCTTGTATTTCTAGGGGGAGGAGCAGAGAACAAAGGTCAAAGGGAAGGACAAAGACTAAAAGCCACAGGACAGGACAGCTGGGGGCTGGGGAGCTTTAGGGTCTACAGTACTCAGATCAGTACTTCCATCTCCACTCTTCCCTCGCCCACCACCTTCCATTCATCCAGCCTCACCCCAAAGACACCCTGTTTCCGGGAGAGGGTCCCATTCCCAGGAATCCCTGCTCCACCACTCCAGTTCCAGAAGTGGACATGAGATTTCCCGCTGGTGACAATACAGCTGCTGTCACGAGGGCTGAAGCCAACGGCCAGGACTGAGTCATTTGTGCTCTGAAGGGAAGACACTAAATTCAGCCACCCCAAACCCTGAGCACCCTCATACTACTTGACTCTCTTGATTCGCATCCTGACAGTTGGCCTGCACAAGGTCCAGGAACCCCAAGACAACCCTTCCTTTGAGACCCTGGTCT